CTCAAATGCATCACAACAGTTCACACACTGAAACCAACAGCCAAGAATGCAATGCTGTGTGGACACTTACGGAACATCTGTTTTGCTGGTAGCTTTAACTCCTCCAGCAGGGATTCTTTTGACAATTACCGATGAGTTTTTAGGAATCAGGGCATCTTCTGTGTATTCTGAAACCAACAAGTACAGAAAAAGACATTCAAAAGGACATGTATTAACACATAATTAACTACACAGCGCTTCAGAGAAGGCCTCTACAGATACAGAAGCCAAATTTCGTATGTAACATCGTGCTTTCATTGTCTGAACACACTAACAGTACCTTTCAAGACATTTTCAGGTTTGGTAACCAAACACCAGCAGCTAAATCTTTTTCCTTTTTTAAAAACAGTTTGAATGCCAACAGCAAAAGGGTCTCAGAGGTCACTACAGGACAGCCTGCTAATACAGGGAGGGCTTTCCTGAACTGAGGCTGCTTTTGCTTCTATTAGGCTACAAAATTGATAGATCTCTGGAGAAAAACAAACCACCACAAAGTCTCACCTGCATAAACCAGGTTCTAAAGTCTGACTAGCTTGCTCTGAAACAAGCCAGGCATTAGTAAAAGCATGAAAACTCAGATCCACTGCTTTCGCCACTGTTAACTGAGTCACTTCTGCTGCTGGTGCTCCAGAGTGAAAGAATGCAGAAGAGAGCCTGCCACCTTTCTCTGTTTCTTGGAGTTTAATCCATCCAAAGCCACACTTCTCATCTGCTCAGTGCTTTACATTTGCTTGATCAAGTCTGACACTAGGACTAGATCCAGCCACACCTAGGTTCCATCAGGAGTTTAGAAAGCCAGGGGGTCCACTCTGAACTTTGTGTCTCAGTGGGAGGGCTTCCTTTTTTTCATCTTTGGTTTCCATGGCAATCATTTTAGCTGGATTCTACCATGATTTTCTTTTTTGACATTCCATTAGACATGAACCATTGACCAAGCCTTAGACTAAGGCTAGATCTAGCTTCACCTAGGCTCCCCTCAGGCATTTAGAAAGCTCAGGGCTCTCTTCTGGACATTGTGACTCAGTGTGCACATTTGACAAACTGGTGTAGCCAGCAGGATGCTACATCAGCTTTCATGACTCCACCCCACTTAATCCCTGGCACTGCTTACCCTCTTGGTGCTCCTGCCACCTGGCGGGATGGGCCCCAGGCTCACTCGTGCTATGTGCGGATGAGCCATAAAAGACAGAATGCGGCTTCTGCTGGCTGCGGCCATCATGGGGTGCTCTGCAACGTCGCCAGCCAGGACACCCCCAAAGCCCTGCACATGCTGTGCACACGTACCTTCTTTGGTCTGGGCATTGCTGATCTGCAGATCACAGTTGGCTGCCTTCAGCTTCTCCTTGCGCATGATCTTGCACTTGAGCAGGACACAGATTCTCCAAGAAAAGCACAGGCAGCAGGACAGGTGAGAGAGAGGGAAAAAGGGACAGGGAGGCAGGAGAAAGGCAAAGACAGGCAAAAATAAGAGATGGGGAGCAGGACAGAGTTGGAGGTAAGAAAGCCAGGGGTGGGCAGCAGGACAGAGAGAGATGGAAGGACAAACAACACACTGCTGCTGACTGAGAAATACCAGCGACAGAGAGCAGGACAGGGTAGTGGTGGTGGGGAGCCCTAAGAGGAAGTATGACAGAAAAATGGGGGGGACAGGGCAAAGACAGGGAGCAGGAGGGAAACAGAGAGAAAATGAGAGGGATGGAGCAGGGCACAGGTGGAGAAAGAGGGAAAGAAGAGAAAGGCGGCAGAACTAAAAGAAAGAGAGAAAAGAGCAGGGACGGAATGCAAGACAAGTGATGGATCAGAAAATCCTGATGGGCTTCAGGCTTAAGATGAAGGAATGAAAGAAATGGGAAGAGAGAGCAGGCCAGAATGACAGAGAAAGAAGGAAGAGAGAGCAGGGCAGCACTGGAGGACAAAACCAACTGCTGGGCATCAGGACAAGAGAGGGGAAAGAAAAATTCCAGATCAAGAGTGAAAGAAGGCACAGCCAGCTGGACAGAGAGGCTTAGCAAGAAAGGATGGAACAGGGAATGGGATAGAGAGAAAGACAGAAAAAAGGGAAAGAAGGACATGAGAGGAAAAAAAGGGTAGGCATCTGCACAGAGATGGAGAAAGAAGCAGCACGGAAAGAGGAAGAGTGGCAAACAGAGGGAGAGGGAGCAGGGCAGAGAGAAGGAAGGACTATGGGATTGACAGAGATCACCAAAAGACGTGGTGGGTAGAGGAAAGGTGAGTAGGTAAAAAAGAAATAGGGGCAGGGAGAGCTTGCTAGCAACACCAAGCTGTGTGGTTCGGTCGATACGCTCGAGGGAAGGAATGCCATCCAGAGGGACCTTGACACGCCTGAGAGCTGGCCAATGCCAGCCTCATGAAGTTCAACCAAGCCAAATGCAAGCTCCTACACCTGGGTCGGAGCAACCCCAGGCACAGCTACAGGTTGGGCAGAGAAGAGATTCAGAGCAGCCCTGAGGAGAAGGACTTGGGGGTGTTGCTTGATGAGAAACTGAACATGAGCTGGCTTCAGTGTGCGCTCGTAGCCCAGAAAGCAACCGTATCCTGGGCTGCATCAAAAGGAGCGTGACCAGCAGGTCCAAGGAGCTGACCCTGCCCCTCTACTCTGCTCTTCTGAGACCCCCCCTTGCAGCACTGTGTGCAGTTCTGGTGTCCTCAACATAAGGACATGGAGCTGCTGGAACAAGTCCAGAGGAGGCCACGAGGATGATCAGGGGCTGGAGCACCTCCTGTATGGAGAAACGCTGAGAACATTGGGGCTGTTCAGCCTGGAGAAGAGAAGGCTGCAGGGAGATCTCAGAGCAGCTTCCAGCCTCTGAAGAGAGGCTACAAGGATGCTGGAGAGCAGCTCTTCATCAGGGACTGGAGTGACAGGACAAGGGGTGATGGGCTCAAACTGAAACAGGGGAAGTTTAGCTTAGATATAAGGCAGAAGCTCTTCCCTGTGAGGGTGCTGAGGTGCTGGCACAGGGCACCAAAGGAACTTGTGAATGCTCATGCTCCATCCCTGGCGGTGTTCAAGGCCAGCCTGGACAGAGCCTTGGGTGACATGGTTTAATGTGAGGTCTTCCTGCCCAAGGCAGGGGGGGTTGGAACTGGATGATCTTAAGGTCCTTTCCAACCCTCACTATTCTATGATTCTAAAACCAGAGCTACAAACAAGAATAACAACTGAGAGAAAGAGAAGTGCAGGAACAGCGAGCAGCTCAGAGGGATGCAGAAAGAAAAAGAAGTAGCAGAAGCCCTGCAGAGCCATGGAGGAAGGGTCTGGGAGCAGCAGACACAGCCAGGGAGAGGAAAAGCAGGCAGGGAGAAAGACAGGGACAGTGGGATACAGAATGAGCTGCAACAAGCAGAAGGGGCTGGTAGAGTGGGAGAGAAAGAAGGACTTGAAGAACAGAGGAACGTGGAGGACAGCACAGTAATAGAAGAGAGGTATGGGGAAGCGAAACAAATGACAGCAAGGGAAAAGGGAGCAGGGAGCTTGGAGAGATGAGAGGCAGACACGGCCCCAAGGGCCGGGCACTCACCACAGCTCCCGCTCTCCGACCTGCCGGGGAAACTCTTCAGCCCAGGCCCTTCTTCCTCTGCCTCTCTGCTCTCCCCTTTCCTCCTGGGCAGGCCCAGGGCCAGCTGCAGGGCGCAGGCCGGGCTCGGGCAGCTCAGGGGGCTCTGGCAGGCGGGGTGCCCGGTGCCTGTGCCCACAGCGGGGCTGTCTCCATCTCCCCAGGGGCTCGCTCGCCTCAGCGCTAGCGCTGGCCCCGGCCCCGGCCCTCCCCTGAGCTGGGCCGCAGCCCCAGCAGAGGCTGTGTCCTGAAGTTTGGAGACCCACACATCCATGGTCATTGCTGCCTTGGGGAAGAGCCATGGTAAGACACCAGCCGCCCGGAAGGACGAGTGTTTCCTCAAGGGTGTGTGGCTTTTTGGTATTGCTTTTGAGGGAGAAACTGCCAAAGAGGCTTCTGTTCTTCTTCAGGGATGTTTTGTAAAGACCTTGACTGACTATTGTGTGACTTGAAACGTTGCTGAAAAACGGTAGAGGTTTGTCTGCCTGTTCTGGATGCTTTGGGTTTGAACATCTGCTTGTGGCAGTGACTTGGCACAGTCAGCTACCGTGTCAAGGCACATGTGCTGAGGGCGAGACTCATCCTACACGACAGTGGGTGTGAATTGTATTTCAGACAGGCTTCTTGATCTTGTCGAATTTTGGGGGCCAAATTCTTCTCAGATCTGATTTGTTCGTCCTTGATTTTGCCTCTTTGCGTGGCTGGTAAAGAGCTCGTGGGAGGAGCAGGAGGAGGATCAGCGGTGCCGTTTCTACATCGGTTGCTTGTGCCGGACTTCCCAGGGTTATCTTTTGCCCGTGGCTTCTTTGCAGGAACCTCTTTTTAAGAGGTGTCTGGTCTGTGAGGGGTAGTGGGCTCAGGGGGAGCCCTTGAGCTGCTCGTTAGTGCCTCAGGGGTTTCCGTGTCATTTTTGTTTGCTGTGCTGGCGTTAAAAAGCGTATTGTAGCTCCTTGGATTCCTGGCATTAAATGAAGTCTCTAGGATTTCTGCCCAGGAGTGAGGTGTCCAGAAAAGGACTGTCCTTGTACGCTGCTGTCAGCCTTCACTTCAGAGAAGTGTCTTGTGGTGGTGTATTTTAATGGGAATGTAACTCAAAGGCAACTTAAATCGACCACCTTAGTCCTTGTTGCTGATACGCCTGGGGGATGATTCTCATCAGGTTGTCAACAGCATGTTCTGCTGTGCTTTACCTATTTGAAATACTCTGTCACCAGAAATGTCTTCCGTAGTACCTCCATAGAACAAGAACCTTACGCCCTGACCCTTGGGGCAGCTTCAAGGCGACAGCTAGATGTCAGTAGCTGCAGTGGTAGCAGTGTGTGTGTGTGTGTGTGTGTGTGTGTGTGTGTGTGTGTGTGTGAAAGATCACCTGAGCCTCCACATTCATTCTGCGTGTCCCAGCTTGGTGTGGGTAGGGGTGCATGAAGTCAGAATGTTGTAGGTGTTGTAACTGGCCAGGCAGTGTCTCTAAAGCAACAAGAAATGAGCCCTTCTAGAGGCATGCCTACGGATGTCAAGGTGGGGGGCTGTCGCCTTTTCCTTCCTTGGGCTGAGCACAGAGAACTAAGAGGTGTTTTCATCTGGGGGAGGGAAGCCCATCCAAGAGCCATCATCAGCCTCCAGGCCTATGGTCCTTGATGTGCTTAGGACAGTTTTACTGGGGTGGTGTTAGTCCTTTGGCTCCCAGGTTTTCCCTTTAAGGTTTGCTCTCTGCTTGATTTGCCGTTATAGTGTTCGGTAAACGTTCTCCATTCAAAGTCCTCAGACTCTGTACTGCGTGTTCCTTTCTCTGAAAGCCCATCAACAGCTTTGGGAACAGAGGAAATGGGGACCCTTTAGGGTAGAGAAGAACATTTAATATGAGAAACACTTCTGTGGTAAGCATCTTGCAAGGATAAAAGGACCTGCTTTAACTTCTTTTTGTTGTTCTCCTTCAAAGATTGATTACTTCTACCACAGAAGAAGAGATGACTTTGATTTCTGTGTCTGACTAAAAGAACTAATGTGAACATGCAGAAAACTGATGCAAAGAGCCATGTTTTGTCATTATGGGGTACCACGTCTGACTACGGGAGCTTCCCCTGTATATGGTCTAGTAGAAGGTGTCCCTACCCGTGGCAGGGAGCTGGAACTGGATGAGCTTTAAAGTCCCTTCCAACCCAAGTCTTTCGTAATTCCACCATTTAATTTCATTCCATTCCTGCATTTAAATTAATTTAATCTTGCTTTCTCCCTTGCTTTCTCCCCTTCCTTCCCCCCTTATCATTTCATGTAGTTTCCTTCTTCGATATTGTTTCCTTCATTCTTTTTCTGGAGCTGCTGTAGAGCCTCCTTGCCTCACCCTGGCGGCCCCATAGGTCTTCTTGACAGACAGTCTCGGGTCTGGGTGTCATTCTTGTTGCCGAGAGTTTTCTCTCATTTTTGAGCTGCATCGTGTGCACTGTTCTGTCTAGTGCCAGGGTCTGTGGCTTAGAACTGCTCTGCCCGGAGGCTTAGAGTCGGAGTAGGTGGGAGAGTGAAAGGAGTCTGTGGTGAATGTGTTGGTACGTCTACACTGTTTAGGCAATGGTCGTACAGTCACCTCTGATCAAGCAGTCATGGGAACGCTGTGGGGATGACGGGGGAAAGGGAACGGTGGGGGCAAGGGATGAGGTGGGGAGTTTCAGGGAGGGGTTTCAAATGGAGCGTGGGAGAGAGGGCTGTCCAAGACAGTCCCCTTGGGCAGGTAGAGGGAGCGGGTTCCTTTTCGGAGCAAGACCAGTGTGGGCAGGGCAGGGTCGTGCCCGTGTTGTTGTGTACTTTGTGCAGCCTGTCTTCTACTGTACCTTCCTCTGGTCTTGGCATCTCCATTGGTCTTTGTGGTCCACAGGCACCTCAGTAGCCTTCACGAGTCTCCAGTGCATCACCTCATTGGCATAGCGCCTGTTGAGCCCTTCTCACCTTGCGATTATAGCTTAAAGAGTGGATCTGTCTCTGTCGCTTCACTGATGTTTCCAAGCAGCCTCTTTTTCCTGGGGCCACTATAGATCATCGGTGCCACCATGGTGCCGTAGAGCTTTTCTGCCGGCAGCATCTCGCCTATGGAGTCGTTCTCGTGCAGTCTTCTCATGTCTCGCAGTCATGTTGCTTGTGGTGTCTGTGCATAGCACTGGTGTGTGTTTAGGTAATCAGAGCTGCCTTGCTCAGGGTGTCCAGACACTAAAGACAGGGATAGCATAGCTTTATGGTGGTGTGGCAACATGTTGATTTGCCCAGATTCTTTTGGCCAAAAGGGTGCATGAAGTCACTCTTGCCCAAGTCTCTGGGCAAGCAGTGGTAGATAGCTGGCACTACCATTATTTTGCTGCAGGGCTGGCCTCTTACAGCCCACAGTCTTCTCCATGCTAGCAAGCTTGACGAGCACTGTATGGGTTAATGAAAAGACCACTGCTATTATGCGAGAAAACATGCTTTGAGAGGAGTAGGCACATGTGATCCTTGAAACCTGTTCCGAGTTATTCGCTTTTGTTGGATGGGGGGGTGGACTGGTGAGAAGATAGGTTGCAACTGTTGGGTCCGTGCTTGTTTTCAAGGTGTGAACAGCTGGCTGCTGCATCCAAGAGGCTTACGATGCATCGTTCTTCCAATGTCCTGACACTGTGCTTAGAAGAGATTTGATCCTTTCTCCGGCAGAAAGATGAGCAAGGTACGTATACGAGTGCACTGCCACTTTGGCTGCCTGGAAGGAGACATCCCCCAGAGGCAAATGAATCATTGTTTGGAAGTTGTTAGTGGCTGCAGATGATGCTGTCGAGCAGACATCTGAGAAACGTCAGGGCAATAGCTGGGCCTTGCTCTTTGTGTCAAGAGTTAGTTTGGCCAAGAAGAGTTTTCTGCCACTTCAGTGCCAGAGATGTCAATACCTACTTCTGATGGGCCATGAAGATCTATTTCCCTCTCTCTCCAGCCTCTAGCCTATGTTTGGTGACAAAGTTTTCTCTGGCTGTTTCCTAGAGACTCTTAAGATAATTTTTGTGTCTTCTTGGTGTCTCTTTAGGTTGTGCAGTATCCAGAATACTTGGACCTTGGCACATACATGTGTCAAGCACTTGGAGAGCCACTGCTCTATTCCTTGTATGCTGTCCTGGTACACAAAGGTTTCAGCCCTCAGCAGGACACTTACTGCTTCATAAAGGTACAAGTCAACTTTGTTTCCAGCAATATAAATATCAGTGCCGACGAAGAGAAAGGGTGATGCAGGTGCTCCTGGCAAGCACTGTTCTTAGGGAAAATCCTCAGGGGGGTACTTGTTTTGATTTGTGTTTGTGTGTTGTGTCCTTCAGCAGAGTCCTGTCTGTGTTTTTTTCCCTAAACTCTGCAGTTAATCCAAAGATGGTGTTGCCTTTCTTTGCAGGCCAACCCCAGGCATTTGTAGGAGGTGAACGATGACTCTGCGGCTCTTTGTGATATTAAGACAGTTCTCTGCCAACATGCGTATTTACTCTTTTGTGTCAGGTAAGAGCAAGTGGGAAAGCGTGTTGAATACCAGCCCTCTCTTGTTCCTGATCTTGTGGTTGCTGTTCTCCAGCGGTTTTACTTTCTCCCTTAGGAGAGAAGGACTGTTTGTCTAGTTGAGTTCTGTCTGGTTTACAGTTCCCCAGCTTCTTTCTTCTCCATCCTTGCTTGGCACAAAATTCTTGCACTTGTATAAATTGCTAGCTGTCTGCTCTCTGAGACTGGCTACCTGTGAAAAGAGGTGAAAGGGAGGCCCGAGAGAGTATCAAGGGGAGTTACTTCTCTGCAAGGGCCAGACCTGTCTGGAAGACCATGCTCTATTTCCAGCACCTAGTGCTGGTGCAGTCTTCTGTGTCATATCAAGTGCTGCTATAAGAAGAGAGGATGGGCCTGAAGCCATGAGGAAGCTGCAAGAACAACCCTGAACTAAGATCAGTGTCCTTTCTCCAGGTGCCAGGAGCAGGCTGGAGCAGGCGCTGAATGCCAACAGACAAAGAACGTTTCCGTGGCAGAGCTGGATCAAGGTCAGAATAGTCTGTTTCCTGGAGGCATCGCGGGACTGCAGGATCAAGAAGGTGAAGAAAATATGCAGAGGATCCAAGGGAAGAGAAAACCCCCAGGGCTCTGCAGGGACACGTCCTCCACGTAGGGGCCAGAAGAGAGCTCACCGTGACACTTCCTTCCTAGTAGTGCTCTAGAGGAGTTTGGCAAATGGAAAAATTGGTGGGTCACCCAATGCTTTCCTGATTTAGACTTGATTGGTTTAAAGAATGAGTGATTCTCCCCAACACCTGTGGCACCAATGACTGTTACTGTTTCTTGACTGAAAAGACTGACTCTAGTGTATTGAGCACAGAATAGGAGGCTCCAGTATCAACTAAAACTTCTACCTGTTTTTTTCCCAGCTGTACTGTAACCAGAGGCTCTGTGGGGAGGAAGTCTCCAGTCCCCTTCGTGCTGTTTCTGTGTTCATGAGAAGAGTCTGGGAAGAGATTTTGGCCCTAAGGTGATAGCAATTTCTCTTCCAATGACCCTTCTGCTGACAGTGTGCACGTTGTCCCGGCCCTACCCTTCCAGGTCCCCTCTTCCTGGGTCCTTGACCCATGCCTCCACCACTTATGCCATTTCAGGGAGTCTGCACTAAAGTGCTGGTAGTTCGGTTACGGTAAGTCTTCCAAGCAATAATAAAGGGACTTCACCGTTTTCGAGGAGCTGATGGGTCGTGTTGTCCCCTTGGGCTGGGGGAAGGCAGAAGGGCCAGGCTGTGCTGTAGGAGCTGGCTCAGGTGGTGGCTGCTGGGCTCTGGGGATGCAAAACCTTCCATTCCTCCTGGGATAGGGATTGTGGTAGCCCCGGTGCCAGCTTGGAGTGCGCTGCAGAGGCCTGAGCAAAACTTTGTGCTTCCAGGTTCATCCACCCCTGCCTCTTTGACGCAGGCAAGATCCAGGACCCAGCGAACTCGCAAGCGGCTAAAGGCACGGATCCATCATTCCCATAATAAGTAACGGCCAGTGCTGCTGGCCCCCACCCACGGGGCTCTGGTCCAGAGCAGCCCTGAGGCAGGACCGGGGTGATGGGGTCAGGCCCCTTCTGTGCTGCCAGCAAGAAACCGTGCTGGGTGGCAGTGCCTGGGGTGACATGGGGTGAACCAACCTCTTCCTACTGGAAGAGTTCCACCCCCGAGGCTGGATGAACGTCTCTGCATCTCTGCAGCCTTTCCTCCCTGGCTTTATTTAGCCGTGTTTCCTAAGGTGCAAACGTTTGCTCCAGCCCTGGCAGTCCCTCTGCTCCCTTCTCTTCCCCTCTCTGCTGGTGCCCCTCCCCATGTTTGGGTGCTCTGGAGCCCGCTGGGGCGTTCAGAGCGGACAGGGATCCTCCCCAAATCCAAATTGTTTTCCATCTGTGGCCCGTCCCCGCCCATTTGGGGTTTACCAGCTCCCAGGAGCTGCGGTGCTGTCTCCCATGGGGCCGTTCATTGGGAGAGGGGCAGAGGCTGCCAGAGCCAGGGGTCACCCGGGAGCTGCCCCCCCTGCCCGCAGGGTCCCCACCACCCCCAGGAGGGCTTTGCTGCCGGCTCCTTTACTCTCTGAGCCGTGGGAGTGTGTGTGGGGGGGAGTCTAAATTACAGAAACCCCACAAATATTTAAATGCTCTTCAATGGAAGAACACTTTGGTTTTCTGGCTGAGCTGTTACAGCAGCTCCTTGCTTCTAAACGGTGGTGCACGTGGATGTGACTAAACCTGCCCTGTTTGGTTTTTGTTCTTCCCCAAGGAGGAGGACAGCTCCGACACCAAGTGGCCTTTTGGGCCATCAGCAGCAAAACATCAGCGGCTGTGAAGATCCGTTGGCGATTTTATTGTTCTGTGTTTGTTTTTCGCATGTTCTAATATTCTTGTTCTGCTGTTGTTAAACTGCACTTGTTTTGTTGTTTTATTGTTATTTATATTTATTGGGTTTTGTTATACTTTGTTCTACCCCTGTTGTTGTAACAATTAAACTAATGTTTGCACCGTAATTTTACTATCATTTTACTATTTTTAACTGTCAATATGTAATTCCCACCTCTCACCGCACCCCCCGTCCCGTTTTTATGTCCCCATTTCAAATAAACAGTCTGTGTTCACATCTGCCTTCCCTGTGTTTGATTCCTGGGCCAGGGCACAGGGTGCCACTTTCCAGCCCCCTCTGCTTGTGGGTACTGGCTTCCCCTCTTCAGATACAGCTGTCTTATTATTATTATATTATTGCTCTTTATTAGTAGTATTATTTCACTGGTTTTCCTCCACTGCTTTGAGCAGTGGCAATTTCAGTGCAGGACTGCAAAACTGTCGTGGAAGGGACAGCGGAGACAGAAACTCTCCTCTGGGTCATCCCTACAGTAATACCAAAAGCATGGTGCCTCTGGGGCTGTTTGGATTCTGCTCTGTCTATGGCCAAGTAGCTGCTACTTACGCACAACCACCAAAGGCTTTGGTCATGGAGGCGAATTTCACAATCACAATTGTACTATATTAAAACTGCTTTACAGAAGTGCCTTGCTGTTCCTCATCGTGTGATGTGAGAAATGAAACAGAGCTCATAGATCCCGCTGCCAGGCCTCAGTTAGTTCAGTGACGCCAACCTGTAAGTGGGTGCGCTGCACTGCTTGGTGTTTCCACCAGCTGTGCCATGCTTCCTAGGTGTCAGGAAGCTTCCTTTCAGAGCCAAAGCTCAAGGAGGAGCAATGACCCATCTGATAACCAAGCTGAGCTGATGGAGTTTCAGACCTGATTCATGTTTTGGCTCCCAAGTGCAGGACCTGAGTTTGAGAGCTGGAGCCCTGCCGTGGCTGTCACATGGGCACACTGGGGTTTGTATTGAGTCGCTGTTTGCCATGGGGAGTCTCCAACCCAGCCCACCCCAGCCCAGGGCCAGGGCCAGGCAGCAGGGAGGCCCTGGGGATGCTCTGGGGGCACCTCTGAGATCAGATGACAGTGAACAGCCAGGGCCAGTTTGGTTGCCCCATCACCAAGTGACACCATGGGGGTGAAATCTGGGTACGATATAGCAGCCAAACTTTTAAACCTCACTGCTAAACCTAACCCAACCCTGTAATCCTAAACCTAACTCTACACCTAACCCTAAAACTCAACCTAAATGAAAACCTAATCCCTAAGTCTAACCTTAACCGAAACCCCTAAACCTATCCCTAACTCCTAAACTTAATCCTAACCAGAACACTAAACATAACCCTAACCCCTAAATCTAAACCTAAAACTAACCCTAATCCCTGCCCTTAACCCAAACACTAAACATTGCACCTAAGCCTAACACTAAATCTACCCCTACCCGTAGGCCTACCCCCTAACCCAAACCCTAAGCCTAAACCTAACTCTAAACTCCCTAACCTTTACTCTAACACTAACCCTAAACTTAACCCCTAACCCTAATGCTAACCCTAACCCAAAATTACTCATGTACTGGGATGAGCAGTTTGTAACCCACCTCTATCAGCTGCTGCAGCGGAGGAGTGGCCACTCAGCCAAGTCCCATGGAAACTCTTCCTTTGTGCACTGGGACCTGCCTGAAACGTCAGGAGCCCATACACTACCCCTGGAGAACATCGTGGCCTCACCATCCTTGGTCACCCAGCCTCAGCTCTTCACAGTCCTCTGCCCTTACCCGTTTTCAGCGTTCACCTCTTCTGCCGGGGACATGAGTGCTCCGCAGACCCCACCAAGCACTGCTCCTCCCTTGCAGGACTCCTGCTGCTGCTCCCCGCCTGCAGCACATTTGGAAGCACAGCTCACATCGGCTGCGAGGGGACACAGAGGAGGAGGCAGCGAGGTGTCTTGGGACTCCCAGGGACCCCTGCACCCCCGTGGGGCAGCCAACCCTCTGGCTCCAGGCCCATGGCCTCCCCATCAGCTGAGCGAGCCCAGCAGGAGGCTGGGAGAGAGAAAAAGGATCTTTGGGAATCCTCAGACAAAGTTGCTGCTTGCCCAAAGGAAAGATCCAGGAGTGGCCAAGGGCACAGCCCCACCTCTGTGCCTTGAGCACCTGCTCAGCTGCAACCTAGGGCAAGCTGGGCTCAGCTCCAGGGAGCTGCAGCGAGGACAGGGCAAGCACAGGAGCTCAGAGCTGTGTCCCAAAAGTACCCTGGGCTGGTGCCCAGCAGGAGCGAGGGCCCTGCAGGCAGAGCAGCGTGCCATCAGCCTGGCTTTCCCTCGCTGGCGCTTTCTGTGCTAACTGCTGCACTCCCAGCCTCTCCTGTGTGCTCAGCTCGGTGCTAACATGACCCATCTCTGAAGGAGAGCCCAGGCACTAAGTCCTGGGGAACAAAAGACAGCTCCAGGGCCGTGAGAGCCTTCTACCACCTTCACCTCCTTGTGAGCACTGAGCCTGGGGCAGCTGCTGTTGTACACCAAAGAGGGGGTGCATGTGTCCTGTGGGCTAACCCTGTGCCAAACTGGGGGCAGAGCATGGCAAAGGCTCTGCTATTTCCGAGAGCACCTGGTTGGGAAAGAGGGAAGCGCTCTGGTCAGCAGAAATAGGAGGAGAAATAGGTTTGAGAAGGTGGGATGTAAACATCCTACCCTACAGCCCCCCCTTCACACACACTTCATCCTTCCTGAGGGTGCTTCAGCACAGGGCCTTCCCTTGGAACCATTTTGGATGGTTTGGGGGCGGCAGAGCCAGTGCATCTCCATGGAGAGCTGGAATTGCACATTCTGCCTAGCTGAAACCAGACAGTTTTCCATTTGGGGTTTGTGGAGGGAAATGGGGAGTGAAAGTTTCCCCATAGTGAGGTCAAAGACGTCACAATGGGGTCGATGATGTCACAATGACGTCACAATGGGGTCACAATGAGGTCAGTGACATCACAATCGTATCAATGAGGTCACAATGGGGTCAATGATACCATAATGGAGTCCATGACTTCACAATGGGGTCAGTGATGTCACAATGGGGTCGATGGGGTCACAATGGGATCAATGATGCCACAATGAGGTTACATTGGGGTCAATGAGATCACAATGGGGTCCATGATGTCAAATGGGGGTCAATGATGTCACAATGGGATCACAATGGGGTCAAGGGGATCACAATGAGGTCACAATGGGGTCAA